GCAGTATGAATGGGGAAGAAAATTAATGCTTGTAGGATATTAGTGGGAAATGAAGAAGAAAGAGACCACTTGGAAGACCAAGATGTATCTGGGTGGATAATATTAAAATGGATCTTTGAACTGGATTGATCTGACTCAGGACAGGCACCAGTGGAGGGCTCTTTTGAACACAGTAATAAACCTTCATGTTCCATAAAATGTTGGGAAGTTCTTGAATAGCTGCACAACTGTCGGCTTCTCAAGAAGGGTTCAGTTCATAATCAAGAACACCACTCATTATAAATATTAGCAATTTTTGCTGAGCAGTACTAATACATATTCCTGCCTTGCCTTGGAAAGTGGAAAATTTAAACCTGTATATCTGCCTCTGCCATACCAAGATAGTAACAAATTAATGCTCAACACATATATAGGTCATGAAATGTTAATGTATAAAATACAGGGATGTTCTTACCTTTGTTGAACAGTTCATGGCTCTAGGCTTCATGGCGACTGCAGCACCACTGGCTGTGGTGCACATATGAATTTTTCTGGTGAATTAGTGTGTATGCCTACTGGCTGATAACATTCAGAATGATATGGCTATAATTCAAAGATCACAGAGGGTGCTGAAAATGCTGTCCCTCTACACGCAGACATTCCTAACACCAGCAGAAGAGGTTCTGATTTACCCTCTGAAGCTGTTCTGCAGGAATATTTGCAATTTCCCTACAAGTATTCTTTTCAATTCTTCAATTCGAGGGTCACTGTTGTAAACTCTGACCTTCAAACAACCCCAGAAGAAAGAATCACAAGGATTAAGATCAGGAGAAAGTGCTGACAAAATATTACTGCTGATAATTCTGTCCTCGAAGACATCAGACAAAACCTACATAGACATGCGTGCGGTGTGGGCAGTAGCCGAATCTTGATGAAACCAGCTATACAGTCTTTCTTCTTCTGTTAACTCTGGAAAGAACTGCCCAAGAATGACCTGTACATATATTTGAAATTAATTGTTTCATTAAAAAACACAGATCCAACAATCCTTGCACTTCCAGCCCTCCAGACACCAACTTTCACTGGATGGAGCAGGGCTTCATGGGTTAGATGTGGATTCTGTGAAATTCAGTTGCAATCATTATGCCTATTTATGTTTCTCTGCAAGTGAAACCATGCATCATCAGAAAAGAATGTCAACTGTGAATCAATCTCACTTCTGACAACAGACTGTAGAAACCAACTACAAAAATAAACCCTGCTAGCTGGATTGCATGGCTGCAAGGTGTGGATTCAGCAGTTGTGTAACCCGTCTACACTAGACACTGACACTCCAGTCTCTTGAGCTGGATGTTTCAATGATTTTCTGGGTGTATGTTCAAGTCTAGCTCCTACATCATCTAACTTTTCCTCAGTAAGCATTTGCCGCTCATGTTTTTGTTTCTCGTCTATAAAGAACCCCAATAACCGAAGTTTATTGACGAAACTGTGATTTGTTTGCCAGGAACTCTTTCATCACAAAACTTGTGACAAAATTTTCACCAACACTTTCTAGCAGATCTGTATTTCATGTAGGTATCATACAGAAATACATGTTATACAACCTCTTTATTACAACTGTCACAACACAACTAATATCAAGATCAGTGCCTAGTTTCGGCTATTAACAGCCATCATCAGGCAAATACACAGTTAACACATATACACCACTGAACCGCAGTACTAGTAAAACTGGATACAATATTATTAGTTATTCATTCATCTGTAATCTGTAAAGGCGACAGGTTCACAGTCTCTTCCAAAACAGTTCCTCCACTTGATGCGATCTAGAGCTTTCTCCTTCAAATGAAAATATCCTCTTCTGTCCCCAAGGTCATCAAGCATCTTCTTATGTCTTCTTCCTCGTCTTCTGGTCACTTCTATCCGCCCCTCTATCTTTCCTTCAATAACTTCTCTTAGAAGGCAGTTACCGTGTTAGATATGACCAATCAAATTAGCCTTCCGTTTTCTTATTTCGTGTAGGATATTCCTCTGCTCACTGACTCTTAATTAACATTTCTTCATTTCTCACATAATCGGTCCACCCGATCTTCTCCATCCTTCTCCAACACCACATTTTGAAGCTTTCCTGGTGTTTCTGATCTACTGCCCTAAGTGTCCATGTTTCAGCCCCCTACAAAGCAATGCTCCAAATGTAGCATTCCACTAGTTTCTTTCTCAAATTTAAGTCCAATTTGCTGGTAAAAAGATTCTTCTTCTTGCTAAATGCAGCTTTTGCCATGGCAATCCTAGATTTAATTTCACACGTACACCTTCCATCATCTGCTAACAAGCTACCCAAACATTTAAAACATTTCACATTCTCCAGTTGTTTTTGGTCTATCTTTCTTGTGACTGGGGTTGGTTGTCTTGAAATTTTCATTACTTTTGTTTTTTCCACATTCATTTCCATGCCATAGCACCTTCCAATTTTGATTAGTCTATCAATCATACCCTGTAGCACAGTTTCTTCCTTAGCCATTAACACAAGGTCATCTGCATATTTCACAGTTTGAATGATTTGCCCTCCTAATTTGAAGTCTCCAAGCCCGTCCAGAGCTTCTTTGGTAAGGCATTCGCTGCACAAGTTGAAAAAAATTGGTGATAAACAGCATCCTTCTCGAACTCCTCTTCCAATCTTCACACTTCTTGTATCCCCTCTGTCCAGTCACACTCTAACTTTCTGATCCATGTACAATTTACTAATCAATCTTCTTTCACACCAATCGATACCTGTTTCCTTTAGGATCTGCATTAATTTGGTCCAATTTACGCGGTCAAATGCTTTCTGCCAGTCTATAAAGCAAGCACACAGTTCTACATCTATCTCCAAAGTTTGTTCTGCTATAGTTCTCATCATACCAATTGCATCCCTGGTTCCTTTTCCTCTTCCAAATCCAAACTGATCCTCTCCAAGTATATCCTCTATTTTCCTTTCGATTCTTCTTTTAAGTATCTTTGCTATTATCTTTGTTGTATGTGCAATAAGGCTTATTGTGCAATGGTCGCTGCATTTTGTAGCTTTTGTCTTTTTCTTTAAGGCAACCATTGTCACTTCTGTAAAGTCCTTGGGCCACTCCCCAGTTTCATATATGGTGTTTATTAGTTTTGTCAGTGTTTTCAAACCACCTTCTCCCAGTAACATAAGCACATCTCCAGGTACATCATCATCTCCTGTGGCTTTTCCATTCCTCATTTCCTTGATAGCTTTTTTCACCTCACTTTGTAAAATATATGGTCCTTTCTCATCTGTATCTACTTCTTCCAGTTCCACTTCCAAGGTTTCTGGCCGATTAGGTCGATCATATAGTTCTGTAATATAATTTTCCCAAATTTTCAGCACTTACCTCTGATCTACTATTCTATTCCCCTGGGAGTCTTCGATGCCATTATTTTGAATCCCATGGTTCTCTTTCCATCCTAGTTCGTTTGTCTTCATGTACATCAAATCATAATGTCCTGTCCTTTGGAATTCTATAATCTCATTATATATCTTCTCAAGATATTCCTTTTTGGCCCTTTTGGCTCTTTTCGATTCATTCCTCAGTCTCCTGTATTTCCTCCTGCCTTCTTCATTGTTTACATTCTTCCATTTCCTTCACTCCTCCATTTTACTCATCATCTCCTGTGTAACCCATGGTTCTTTACCAACCAATTCGCTAATAGTATCTAACATGCATCCTTTTATATTGTTCCACTGCACTTCAGCATTTCCGCTTTCACTTTCAATTGCACTGAGTTTCTCCTCTAGGGCCTCCTGCACACTTTGTCTTTGAGCATATAACTTCTCCAAATCCCATCTTGGTCTGCGCTTTTGGAATCTTATAATTTTCTTCAACCTGGTTTGAAACTTGGCAACCAGTAAGTTGTGGTCAGAATCAATATCTACCCCAGACAGCGTCTTCACATCCTTCACACTGTTTCTGAACCGATGTTTCACAAGGACGTAGTCCACCTGATGCCGCCTCCAATCCCCAGGTGCCTTCCATGTGTAAAGTCTTCTCTTTGGCGTCTTGAACCAAGTGTTGGTAACAATGAGTCCATTTCTTTCACAAAAGTCAATAAGCATTTGACCCCTGTGATTCTGTTATTAGTTATATTACTATATATATTAATTGTTTACATTCCCTACAGAATGGACAATACTTTGTAAGATAAGGCACCGACTAAATAATTAACATTAATATTACTACATCTATATCATGAGCCTCCTATATAATTTTTATATACACAAAATATAAAATATTCCAATTTGGCCGTGGGAATGCAACAAAATGATGTAGAACATCAATCAAAAAATTTTATTCTTATTTTATACAATAACTTCTGTTTTATATATCTAATTTATTGCATTTTTACATCAATTATTTTTTATATAATTAATAATATTGTATCCAATTTTACTAGTACTGCAGTTCAGTGGTGTATATATGTTAACCATGTATTTGCCTGATGATGGCTATTAATAGCCAAAATGTGTACCAGAGCCGAAACTAGGCACTGATCTTGATATTAGTTGTGCTGTGATGGTTGTAAAGGATGCATGAAATGAAAATTAGAAATACATGTTCCTCTAAAGTATACCACACCATGACGGAACATACTGCTCACTAATTGTAAGTAAGAATGAATGACTAATGAAGCTGACAACTGCTGCCCACTGCTAACAAATCATAAAAAAATTGCCACATATGAACCGCACTGCTCGCCATGAAACATAATGCCATCACACAGTCCACAAAGTTAATAACTTCTCTTAATTCCATACATTAGCAGCCATCAGACATACTCATTCCTTAGAAAAATTTGTATGCGCCTGGTCACCACGATACACACTCATGAACCAGTCAACAAAGGTAGTATGAACCTCCCTGTAGTTCATGCATAATTTACAACAGACAGTGCAATGCAACATTTAAGAAAGAATACAAAGAATCTGAATACTGACAAAACCAAAAATAAGATCTAAGAAGTCTGTTAACCTGTTTCAGCCATCCCACAACACTCCTCACTCCCGATGACACTTCCCCAGGAACATCAAATGGAGATGATTCAACCAGGTCTGTCCACTTTGATCTAATAGCTGCTTGGGCTGCAAAACTTGCCATTATCAAACTAAACTTGTAACCACAAAGTCAATTTTTTCCAAGATGCTCTATGTCTGAAAAGATGTACTGTAGACAGATAGTTGACTATCAATACACAACCTCAAATATCTAAATTTTGAACATTAACATTATTAAAAATACATATTTAAAATATCGTAAAATTTGATTTTATCACTATGCTTTCTCCAGCTGCATATTACATATTTTGGGCTTCACACTCAATGGGTACAAAAGGGATGTGTATGCAAGTTAAACCATACTTAACATAAAGGAAAAACGTAATGTGTGACCAACGTTATTAAAGATCTACTGTAAAAAGGTTTAAAAACCATACTCTTTCAAAGCACAACACACCCACAGATACCAATCAGTTTAAGAAAAATACACTGAAGTTAATATCACAACAGCAGGAGCAAAGAGATTAGAAAATACATAAACATACAAACAAATGAAGGGCATAAGAACAAGCCGAGAAACACTTATCTCACCGACCTAACCCATGCCTTTAGATATTACATTAACACCGAATGTCCTAATGCCCACACTGTAATTTTTCCTCCATTATACTTATATTTTAATACTTTCCCCTTCATACAGATTTGGAAAAATGGTATTTACAAGATACAAGGTTAACTGTAACCCAGTCCAAAAACAAATGCATCAAAAAAAAGAGGCCACACACCTTCTACTGTCGTCATACATTCTATGTACTTCGTCAATCGTGAGCAACTATGGCTAAATTCTGCAGTCCTTAGCGTTTCAATTCTTGGATCGAAACCAACAACCTTGACATCAAAAACGAAAAGGTGACACCAAGGTCCTGAGCTGTATGTGACAATTCCTACGCTCTCATTCCTGCACATATATTATGGCTTACATTTGATTACATTCTTGGTTGCACAGGATTTTTTAAAAAGCTGAAATACTCCTACAAAAATAAAGCGCCACACGTTTCAATCATATGTCTCAACAAAGACGTGAGAAACAAACACAAAGCAGATACACTACCACACACTTCTAGCGCCATGCAGCCAGTAATACGTGTTTAGAAAATATTCAAATTGCCAACACGTTTCACAGTTTTAACACTTTTAACAGTGTTCGTGTAGCGATTATACGCTACTCTCGCACTAGGGCAATCGACTCCATGAAACCAATCGCAACCAGCCAGTCGTTTCTGGTCGTTTCAGAACTTTCAGGCCGTTTGTGACCAGTCGCACTCGTCGCACTCGACGCCGAAGAATGGCACTGACCGTATTAAACATCTCATTAAAAAAAAACAGTTCACTACAAACTCAATATAGCTATGGGACGACGCAAGTGATGTCGATAAAGAACTGCTTCATTCTCTTCAAAACTGAGCAACAATCTGTTAGACTACACAACGTGTCAATATGTGTTTGTTCACAATAGTATCTTTCCTTACAGACTTGGGCAAATATTGAGAGGTAGGTACTGGTACTTGTTAGAAATATGATGCTACATCACTAGGATTCTTGTAAATCAATTTATTTGCCAACCAAAAAGCCTTATGTGTGATAAAATGAAAGTTTCAAGGTTATGAAAGATTCTGCATTCTCTTCAGCAGAAATGCCGAGAATTCTGCTACAGAGAGCTGAAGAAACATTTCCTACTGTGACAGAAAGGATGGTGAGTGTTTTGTGCTTGTGTGCACAGACAAGAGTTTTATTGTCATCTGTCATTTCTCATATCTTAAGAAACTAATCTTTTTATGCCAAGCTTGTGTTAAGTTTTCATAATCCATCAGGGAAGTTTACATGGTTCTTCATATTATAACAGTTTGCATTATTAGTGGGAGAGGGACCAATTCAAAGAGAGTGATATGGGTAGGTCATGTAGTGCACATGTGAGAATGAGAAGTGTGTACAAAGATTTTGACAGAAGGTCTGAAAGAATGAGTCCACTTGGGAGACAATTGCGAAGATGGATTTTAAAGATACAGTTATGTGGGTTTTGGAATGCGTTTGTGTCTGGATGCAAAGTTATGATGGACATGTGTGAACATAGTAATGAATCCACACGTAAAGTAAAAGTAAATCTATACCTGTAATAGTCTGTGAAGGCCCATACAGTTGTGAGACGTTGAGGGTCCCACATTATCTAGACAATTGGCTCAAAGATGGTGGTAAGGTTGTTAGCCCTTCTGGAGGAGCCACCGATTCTGCAGCTACTCAAGAATTCCCCAGCATTTTATGGAACCCAAAGGTTCATCTCCGTGTTCACAAGAGCCCTCCACTGGTCCCTATCCTGAGCCAAATCTATCCAATCCATACCATCCCATCCTATCTCTCTAAGATGCTTTCTAATATTGTCCACCCACCTACACCTTGGTCTTCCTGTGGTCTCTTTCCGTCTGGCTTTCACACCAATATCCTATGCGCATTCCTCGTCTCCCCCATTCATGCTACATGACCTGCCCACCTCATCCTCCTTGACTTGATCATTCTAATTATACTTGGAGAAGAGTACAAGTTATGAAGCTCCTCATTATGCAGTTTTCTCCAACCTCCTGTGACTTCATCTCACTTCAGTCCAAATATTCTCCACAACACCCTGTTCTCAAACGCCCTCAGGCTATGTTCCTCCCTTAATATCAGAGACCAAGTTTCGCACCCATACAGAACCACAGGCAAAATTATAGTGTTGTATATTTTAATTTTTATGGTTTTGGACAGCAGACGAGAAGACAAAAGGTTCTGGACTGAATGGTAGCAAGCATTACCTGAGTTCAATCACCTCTTTCCTCTTGAATCAGGTTTCGATCTGTTATCGTTGTTCCCAAATATCTGAACTGTGCAACATTTTTAAAACATCTGTTTCCTATCTTATTATTTATTTAATTAGCAATATTAACATTTAATTAACATTATTTAATTAATTCCTGGTACTGATTTCTGTTAGAGGCTGAGTCAACCCCAGGGCCATAGTGTGGCCGGAGGGATTAGGTCAATTGAGAAGATCCTTCCATCAGGAAGCAATGAGTCCTTACGTTCCATAAAGAGCAGATACATATTTTCTGTACTTCCACAGGGACCATTAGATTCTCAGGAAGGTCCATGCATTATGAACTTAACACTTCCTAAGATTATGAAGTCTGTAGAAAAGAAATCTGTACAGAGCAACTGTTATGGGTTAGATGTAATGAGAAACAGCTACAGCAAGGAGACACGTTACAATATATTGTTTCATGTGTGGTGTTGTACAGCCATGACTGATAGAAGATGTGATGTCTTTACAGAACTTTACAAATTCAGAGAAGGTTTTAGTGGGTCCATATGGTGAGACATACCCAGCAAGTCATGATGCAAACCAGGCCATGAATATAAAAGCTGAGGAAGTCTCAAACTCACAAGAGACAGCGGATCCTGTGCAAATAACAATTCAGGAGATAAAGGCTGAACCTGAGGTGAGTTGTATGTTTATGTATGTCCACTGTTAGGCAGATATCACAGATAGGCAGGAATTGGATTTGTCTCTCTCATCTCCATCTCCATCTGGTTGTCTGTGCACATGGAACAACTCCACTGTCCTGCTGACTCACCTTTGAAGGCCTTTTTTTGAAGTGTCTCTAGACAGTTATAGTTTGTTGAATGTATGCTGCTTGTGATGTACCACTTCCATTTCCTTTATACAGTTCTAATGCAGATGAAATTAGATTTTGTATAAACGGAGGAGTGTTTGAGAGAAATTATAGCAGCAAAAATCCTTGGGTAGTCACAGAACTGTTTGCAGTTAGTTAGTTAGTTAGTTAGTTATTGGAGAGGTTGGGTTTCCCCATGCACTTAGACCAGTATTGGTCTATTGTGCTTCCCTCTACGATATTCTACCAGTCTCTATACCCTACCGATATTGGTGCATCGGGACAGTCCCGCCGAACCAGCGAGTTCAGCCTCCACTAGCTTGGGGGTGTCTGTAATGCTTCCCCCATCTATCAGAGGCTTTAGAGACTACTGTTGGGCGGGAAACGTCCTTGAATTTGGCTCAGTGATCTCCTTTGGAGATATGAGGTTCTTTTACGTGCTGTAAAGCTCCGACACGGGACACACGGCTTAAAGTCCCTCCTGGATGACTTGTTCCCTGAATTTTTCCGCCCTTAAAAATTCGATGACCTCCGCCGGGTATTTGAACCCGCGTACCACGAGTCATGAGGTGGGAAAGTTACCTCTAGACCATGGAGGCCGCTTTTGCAGTTAGTTACTGGTACACTTATTAGAACCTTGAGGCACTGTTACAAGCCAGGTTGCGTGTTCAAGTCCCGATGAGGTCATTGGATTTTTTAAATTGACCCAACCTTTCCACCTGCACTGTGGTCCTGGGGTCTACTCAGCCTCTAACAGAAACGAGTACCAGGAATATTCTTGGGGGTAAAGGCGGCCGGCGCCTAAGGCTGACAACTTTGTCACCATCTATGAGCCGATTTTCTATAAAATGTGGGAACCTCAACATCTCACAACCCTATGGGCCTCCACGGCCTGTTACAGGGATACATTTACTTACACTTATTAGCACCATTAATTTAAATTACTAGGAGTCTTGTAAGCTAATTCCAATGAACCCCACAAGATATTTATCATGTGATGAACAGGTTTCAAGGTTACAAAACATTCTGAATTCTCTTGCAACAAGACTGGCAAGAATTATACTGCAGAGCTGAAGAAAAGTTTCCTACTGTGAAAGAAAATATTGTGTTAGAGTTTTATTGTTGTATTTCAGTTCTCTTGTCCAAAGAAACTAAATATTTTGTGACCAACTTCTGTATGTTTGCGTAATTCATGCAGGAAGTTTCTTACACATGGGTGGTAACGGTTTGGGATATTATGTAGGAGAGCAGTGAGTTCGAGGAGAGTGATGTGGGTAAGTCATGTAGGGCACATGCAACAGTGAGAAATGCATACAAAGTTTTGGATAGAAAACCTAAGAGAAGTAGACCACTTGGGAGACCTAAGTGCAGATGGAGAGATGCTGTTAAAATAGATTTTAAAGAAAAAATTTTGGAAGCATTTGTAATGGGTCTGTTTGACTTAGGTTACAGAGACATGATGAGCACGTGTGATCGCAGTAATGAGCCCTTAGGTACCATAACTAACTCCATGGAGCTGAGTGAGTCCTTGAGAAGCCACCAGTTGATTGGCCACTGAAGAATTTCCCAGCATTGTATAGAACCTGGAAGTTTATTGACATGTTCGCAAAAACCCATCACATATCCCTATCCTGGGCCATATGAATCCAGTCCCCATCACCCCATCCTGTGTCTCTTAACACTTTGCGGACCAGCGATTTAAATATTAAATCACCCTGGGGACTGGCATTTTTATACCTACTACCCTAAGTTGTGCACTGTTCATTTTAAAAATTAATATAAAATCTCCTAATTAATTTTATGAACTAAAACTTTTGGAGAACCCTTACCAATGCTCCTAGAAGTGCTTGAGAGTGTGGAAACATTCACCTTTGTGAAGTGGCGTTACACACACTTGCAAATGTAGACAGTCATAATCCTTTTTTTGTGAACTGCGCAAACACGACATTGCCTAGAAGGATGCTTCCCCTTGGAATTTTCACTCTTCACAGTTTTCTCAAGGATATGTTTCCGCATATCACCCGAGAGTCGCCCAGGGTTGTCCACATGAGGCCTGCCTGGGGTGGGAGTAAGCGTGCCCGGTCACACTAAGACTGTGTCTGCCGCTGGTTCTCCCGCCACCGTGTGGTCTGTAGCCCAGGCTTTTGCCACATTCAGCAGAAATGTCTTGTATTTCAGTTTTGAATGAGGGTTTAGATTTTTGTAAACCAAAAATGAATGAAAAATGGCACAATTTATAAGCCACAAGACAACTTTCTTTGTCCACTTTACTGTTTTCCGAGGAAGAGAATAATAGGCCAAGTACCGATCAGCTCTATCAACTCCTTTCATGAACATATTACGAGGGGGTACCCAAAAGAAACCGAACTTATTTTTTTTAAACTTATTTATTCAAATTTTAATCACAAACCTTCAATCCCCTTAAAAGTACTCTCCACTTACACTAATACACTTGTCTAGTCTTTTATTCCATTTTTCAAAACATTGTCTAAATTCATCTTTTGAGATGCTTGACAGTGCCTCTGTCATTTTTTTCTTCACCTCAGCAACATCAGCAAAACGCTTTCCTTTCATGTCTCTTTTCATTCGAGGAAACAAAAAAAAAGTCGCACCGGGCAAGGTCGGGTGAGTATGGAGGGTGAGGAACAGGGGTCATACCATTTTTGGTCAAGAATTATCGTACAGACAGGGCTGTGTGAGCAGGGGCATTGTCATGATGGAAAAACCAGTCACCCGACTGCCACAAATCTGGCCGCTTCCGCCGCAAACTGTTGCGCAGTCTTTTCAAAACTTCCAAGTAGAAACTGTCTGACCCTGCGGAACAAACTCTGAATGGACGACTCCTCTCACATCGAAAAAACAAATCAGCATTGTTTTCATGTTTGATTTCACCTGACGAGCTTTCTTGGCGCGAGGCGAACTTGAAGTCTTCCACTGGCTTGATTGTTGCTTTGATTCAGGATCGTAAGCATAGCACCAGGTTTCGTCACCGGTGATAATTTTTTAAAAAAAGTTTTGATCATTTCGGGACTCTTCTTTCAAAGCACAGCATGCTTCCACGCGACCTTGTTTTTGTTCAGCAGTCAGCAGTCATGGCACGAATTTCACAGCCACAATTTTCATTCCCAAATCTTCTGTCAAAATTCGCTGGATTGAGCTCCAAGTCACTCCTGACAGCTCCACAATTTCTTCAATAGTCCATCGTCGATCTTCCTTGATGATTTCACGAATTTTTTCAACATTTTCATGTGTTAGGGCCGTGGAAGGACGACCAGAACGACGTTTGTCATCAATTGACATTTCACCAACGGGAAAACCACTCAAACACTTGAGTTTTCCCCATAGCATCATCCTTGTACGCCGTTTTTAACATTTCAAGAGTTTCTGTTCCACTTTTCCCGAGCAAAAGGCTGAAGAATTTCACCGCCGCACGCTGTTCATGAAAATCAGCCATTGCAAAAACGACAATCACACAAAACAGTTGTCACTATAAACTCTGCCGAAACTAGTCCTTGCCTTCTGAAGCAACGGTAGTCGGCTTATCGACTCAGGAATGTTAGCTCTGTGCGCTCATAGCGGCAAAACGCGTTACTACAAAAGCTCTGCCCACAAAAAAATTAGTTCGGTTTCTTTTGGGTACCCCATTGTATACTTGGAAGTACAAACAGGCTTCTTTACCTGTCCATGTCTCCTTTGAACATCAACCACGCTCGAATTGTTAATTGCAGAAATCATATTCACAACACGTGTATCCCTCCAGGACTGAAGAAGAATATCCCCCTTCCTCCTGAATGTGGTTTCACCACATTTCTGGGATTTACATTCCTCTTTCAGACCTGGAGGAAGGCCTCTGTTCACCCTAATTGTTCCACAAACACCTACTTCTCTCAAAAGTAGGTGTTCTGCAGTTGCCACACTGTTATAATAATTGTCTTAATAGACATGGTAATTTTGATCAAGATAGGGTTCCAAAACGGAAAGAGTAGGCTCTTGTAATTTCTTTCCTTCACCAGAATAAATTTCTAAATTTCCAGTATAGCCTGATGTGCTTTCAGTAACTACATGAACAAGTAGGCCATACTCTGTAAGTTTCCCAGGATTATATGTTCGCATATTGCACTACTCACTGACAGCTTGCTACATACAGCTTAAAGAAATGAAGGCATTTATTTTCCTTTGCAGGGGCATACAGTTACAGTGAGGTCACATAACTGATTAGTCAGCAAACATTCCAAAGGCTTATCACACATCAGCAGGCAACTAGCTGTAAGCTGGGTGGCGTCAGAGGAGCGCTGTATAGTGTGTTACAATTTATTGTGCTCAAAAAACATATTAATACGTGACCAGTCCGCCATGTTTAAAAGCGAAAAACATATTAATGTGTGCGTGGTCTGCAAAGTGTTAAAGATCCATTTAAATATTATCTTCCCACATATGCCTAGGTCTTCCTAGTGGTCTCTTTACTTCTGGCTGTCTCAGTAAATCCTATATGCATTCTTCTTGTCCCCTATGCCTTCTGTATGAGCTGCCCATGTCATCCTCCTTCACTTGCTCATATAATTATGCTTGGTGAATGAAGGTTATAAGTTGTGGAGCTCTCCGTTATGATGTTTCTAGGTACCAAAAAAGCAGATATTTTCTGTACTGACGCAGTGACTGTTAGTTCCTCGGGAAGGTCACTGAGCTATGAACAGAGTACTTTCTAGTGAGAATGATAGCTGTAGAGAAGAACATCTGTACAAAACAGCTCTTATGAGTTCAGTGTGATGAGAGGAACAGCCATAGCAAGGAGAGCATATGCTGTTTAACCTTTAAGAGCCTAGCGACACCATGTGGGGACCTTTAAAGTATAGCCGAGTGGCCATGCGACACCGTATGGGTACGCGCAGTCCACGCATGTGCACAGTGTTTTAAAATCTAATTTTAAGATAGAAATTCTTGTTCTACTTACATTATTTTTGGACACCAGCTTAATAAGTAGACTGTCTTCCCTCCTGCATCATCTAACTGAATGTTGCATGTCACTGAATGCAGAGTCTGACGCCGCAATTAATGCACTTTGTTCATATGTAACCCCATTTCCCACGTGAAGAGCACACACGACACCTCAATCTCGTATTAGAGGAAGTAGGCCAGTGATGTCCTCTAATCGTAACGCTTATAAAACATCACAATTTCAACTATGCACCATGGCCGAATTTCGCATGGAAAAAGCCGAAATTGAGAGGCCGCTCATAAATCACACCATTCAGATTGTAGTACAGACGATTCTGAAGGGTCGAGGAAAGAAGGGGGCATTGAGGGGATATTCCAAGAACAGTACCTCTGTGTGTTTAGTCCGAGATATAAACAGGCAGAGTTTCATAAGGACAAAATATGATAAGACTTCACCCACACTCCTGTATACAGAAAGGTTCCAACTGGAGAATATGCAGTACAAATATAAACTTCCTCTCCTATTGCCAGATAAGACATAGTAAGACAGTGCGTCAGCAGCATGCATTTATACTGCAGAAACGTTTTGTGCAGAAGGTTTATGCTTTTTTGTGGACAGATGCTCAAAATTGGGAACAAATTTTTTTTGGAATCAATGTAACAATTTTTACAGATTCTAAAATCTGTATATTACAATATCTGATTCTATATTCTTTCTAGATAAAAGCAGCATTTATTTCGTTCGTTTATCACAAAAATTGTAGAAATCACAGCATTTTCAGTAACATGCTTACAATTTTTATTACTCTAAAATGGCGGACATTTAAATTAACTGTGGCCGGCTGCCATTACGGGAATTTAAATGGCCCGTCTCATAAAGGTTAATGTGTGGTGTTGTGCATCCATTTCTGAGAGGGATGTGATGGTTTTTACAGGACTGTACAAATTCGGAGAATGCTTTAGTGGGTCCATATGGTGAAACATGCCCAACACCTCATGATGCAGATCAGGCCATGAATGTAAAAGCTGAGGCAGCCTTAGATGCAGAAGAGGAAGAGGATCCTGTCCCAGTAACATTTCCAGAAATAAAGGCTGAACCTGAGGTGAGCTGTGTGTGCACTGTTAGGCAGATAACACAAATGTGCAGAAATGCCTCTTCTCTTTCTGATATCCATCTCTGTGAACATGAAACATCTCTACTGTGCAATTGGCTATCTTTTGAATTTTTTTCTTTCCTGAGATGTTTCTAGACAACTGTAGTACGTTGAATGTTGCGTGTGATGTACCACTCCCACTTTCTTTTGAACAGAACTAATATAGATGAAAATAGATATTGTGTAAACTCAATGTTCACAGTAAATTCTTTACAGGAAAAATCCTTCACATTTTCCTTGTCTGTACAATCCACTAAGCAGTGCTTTGGTACTACATCATAGAGTTCCCAGGATCTATAAATGCTGAAGTTTATCATTTATTTGTTTTCTGTCTTCAGTGCAGTCTGTATCCGTATAATATCATAGAGGTGTCATTATGTTGAGGATTTGTTATAGGATAACTAATGATTATCTAAAGATTTGTGACTGTGTGACATATTATAGGCACGTGTTGCCTGTTACCTTTGTTTAAAGTAAATTTAATATACCTGACATTGTTAGTGGTACGCGGTAATGTAGTTGTTTGAAGGGCTATGCTACAAGCCGGATTGTCGCAGTTTCAAGTCCCAGTGAGGTCATTGGATTTTTTTCGATTAACCTAATCCTTCCAGCCACACTATGGCCTTGGGGTCAATTCACCCTCTTACAGAAATGATTACCAGGAATTAATTAAATAATTTTCCTGGGGAGTAAAGCGCAGTGGGTGCGTAAAGCTGACAACCTTACCGCCATCTTTGAGCTGATTGTCTAGATAATGTGGGACCCTCAACGTCTCACAACCAAATGGGTCTTCACGGCCTGGATAGCTTTACTTTTTTTTACTTTACCTGACACTGTTGGACTTGACCCTGTACCTGCTGTCAGGTGATTGGTTGTCATGACAGATTTTTGTTGTTTTCGTTTAGATAGAATGGTGACTAAACATTAGATACAGAGAATGTGCAAGAGATGTAGATAGCAATAGTGAAGAATTGGCATTGGCAACACATCCTAAAGTATAGACGCAATTGTGGTGAAGTAGGGTATACAATGGATGTAATTAAACACAAATAAAGCTATTAATGAACTTCAAAGAAAATATAGACGGAGGTTCTTACTTTTCTTGGCCAGTTTATGATGACTGATGCACCACTGGCTGCAAGGTGCATAGAAATTTTGCCAGTGTATCAGTATTCCTGTGGCCAGTAACATTTGGAATGAAGTATACAATTCACAGGTCACAGAAGTTGTTGAAAATGCTGTCCCCCTACACGTAAACATTCCTTGCACCAGCAGAAGGAGTTCTGATTAACCCTTAATGCTGTTGTGCCAGAATTTTTGCAATTTCCCTATGAATATTTTTTGTAGTTCTTAATGGGGTTTACTGTTTTAAACTTTGTCCTGCGAAGAACCACAGATTAAAATATCTAAGAACTAAGGTTGGGTGAATGTGCCTGCCAAATACAATGTGCCAAAAATACAGTACTGAAATGAAAAGGCAAACAATATTACCTTGTTGTCATCTGTTGGTTTATTTCTCCTGAAAGAAACTAACATACACACTATTAGCATGTTGATTTACCATGGTATGTGTAATGTAAGTTTTCAAAGTGTGCACTGCCTCACTGTAGAAGGTGTTCATATCGTTCACGCAGATTCTCAGTGATAGCCTGGGACAAAGATTGCTGTAGACTCCTGCAAAAGGAGCTGATTTGCTTACGTAATGCAGGCACAGTTCTCGGCAGATATTCACAGTTGAACACACACTCCTCTAACAAGTAGGCATCAGGTGGTGTAAGATCGGGGGAAGGCCGCACCATAGCTCAACCAGGTAGTCGCTGGCTTCTCGCTGTGGCAGCCCAGGTTCGATCCCGGGTCTGGTCAAGTGGGATTTGTGGTGGACAAAGTGGTGCTGGGGCCCGTTTTCTCTGAGTACTTCAGTTTTCCCTGCAAATCTTCGTTACATCAAATTCTCCATCATAATCACCCAGGGCAGACTACAATAGGCCAGTCAGTGACCGCCATGCTGAGTGGACCCAGTTGGACTCCACCCCCCCCCCCCCCCCACCAAGCAAATTAAAAAAAAAATCGGTGAATGGGACAGGTATGGGAAGTCAGTACCACATGAGATGATTCATCCTGGAAAATTTTCCTGGAACATGGCTAGAGATCCTTGAGCGGTATGGCTAGTTGCCCCATCCTGTTGATACCACTGTCTATTCATGTGAAGGCCCCTTTCACAACAGAACCTTCTCAAACCCTGAAGAAATGGTCTGATCACCATCTCCCTGTAGCGTTCTTGGGTGATGATAAGAGCATTGCCTTCCTCATCCTCAATGAAATAGGGGCCTAATATACTGTGTGCTGAGCGGCCTCCGTAGTCTAGAGGTAACGTTCCCACCTCATGACTCGTAGTACGCGGGTTCAAATACCCGGCGGAGGTCGTCGAATTTTTAAGGGCGGAAAAATTAGGGAACAAGTCCTCCGGGAGGGACTTAAGCCGTGGGTCCCGTGTCGTAGCTTTACGGCACGTAAAAGAACCTCATATCTCCAAAGGAGGTCACTGAGCCAAATTGCGGACGTTTCCCGCCCAACAGCAGCCTCTAATACCTCTGGTAGATGGGGGAAGCATTATAGATACCTCTCAGCCAGTAGAGCCGGTCTCGCTGGCTGGGCGGGACTGATGGTAAGTACCAATACCGGTAGGATATAGAGACTGGTAAAAATCATAGAGGGAAGCACAGTGGACCAATACAGGTCTAAGTGCATGGGAAACCCACCCTCTCCAAATAACTAACCAACTACTGTGTGCTGAGACCGCACACCATATCGTCACACGTGTACTATGTAGCAGTTTCTGGATGATAATATCTGGCCGCTGAAAACGAGTTATCTGGCATTTAATGTGGCCGTCCAAGTGAATGTGACTTTTGTCGGAGAACCACACATCCTCAAGAAATGTGGATCCTCGTACACCATGGCCAAAAATATTCAACAATACACCATCCTGGCTCACATATCTGACTGTGAAGCATTGTGCAATCTGTATCAGGTATGGAAATCTACCTATGTCCTTAATCGGTGAACGGACGTATCGCTGACGTTCAGTTTCAGGGCTGATCATCGTAGACTTCATCAGGGCAAATGCAGCACCTGCTGAAGAACATGTGCATGATTCTCTTTTGTTGAAACAGTTACTGGTCAACCATACTTTCCCTTCAGTTGACACAGTACACTACCAGAATGGCAAAATTTCGTAACAATAGACAGCATAACTGTGTTACTTGGTGTCATCTTATTAAATCTCTTGGAATTGTTCTGTCACCTTTTTAAACTTGGTTGCCCTTCACAACCATTTCCGTATGAGCGGAAATAATACTCAACTATAAATATTTTTCCTCTGTCGAGAGAGCCATTTTCAACAGCTGCACAACACAACTTCCTTTTCACTACTGGGAACATGTGCAGCTGGATCTATGCCCCGTCAACAAACGCATGTGTGCATTCAAGATGCGTGAGTTTCAGTACAGCACATTTTGGCGCATATTGTACGAGTGCTGATATTTCTCTTGCTAAAGATACCAGAAAAATCCTGCATAGATGTATGTGAAATGTGGGCAGTAGCTGAGTCTTGCTGAAACCAGCCATAGAGTCTTCTTTTGTAGCTCCTAACCGTTCAGCGTGGTTTGACGTGTATGTTTCGTGAGGTATTTAAATCGTCTGCGGGGGTTCGACGTCTATGTTTCGTCCAGCTGCACACCTATGTTATAACGCCCATAATAATTGATGGTTTTGCTGTAGATTGTTAGATTTTTCACTGGCCTGTTGTCAGAAGGACAGTATATAATGAGGCACGAGTTTTTCTCCGCTAAGTCATCGTTACATATGCCTGTCTTGCAGCAAAATTCCTGTTGCTCTTGGGAGAGGTTTCGTCATTCAAACTGTTATGAATGTCGTGTTTTCTTTCCTATGAAGTTATAGACAGCAGAGACGTGATATGTGCTGTGTTTATAATATCATATTGCCCTGAGCTGGCCACACTAACACACTCAATTGGAATTCTTAGAAGAGGGATGTCCAAAAATTTATTCTTGCAAGATCGATTGATTTCGCACAGTACATAGCAGCGAGTTCTTGGAAAAACGTCACGAATTAAGGCAAAACACTGTGGTCACCCCCTATGACGATACTGGTGTGTGTGTGGGGGGAAAAGAACTCATTCCTTCATGTATTATCGCTCCAGTTGACGCCATTTTATCGTACTGACCTTGGTGGTCGTTTCGAGGGATGACCATAAATATTTTTTTTGAGCCAGCTAAGCTCTGCTTTCGTGCACTACATACCAGCCAGTTCTTAGAATAACTTCATGAATTCTGTGGTCACCCTTACGACATCTGCTGCCGCCAAAATGAATGGAATATCAAAGGCATAGCAACAACCCCTTGTTATGATAACTCGTGACGTTGAATTTACTACAGCTGACCTGGCAACTAAACGGCTCACGGAAAGACATTTCCTTGAACGTATACCCCTCACGGGGAAGAAGGCAAGGCCGCACAGAAGATGTGTGGTTAAAAAAAAGAGCCAAAGAAAAGATACACAATAATGGAGCGGTGAATGTGGGGCAGCGTTGTGTTAGAAGAATGCTTCAAGGCCTACCTTACAGTGCTCAAATTCTAAACACCTGCTTCCATTGCCGAGATACCGGGCGCTCATATTATAAGGTAAGGTTATAAAACCACCTTTTAAGATCATTTTAGTGAAAGTTTCATGTTCCTATCTCATATAATTTAAGAACAATGATGAATAAATCATTTTCGAGCAAAATTTAAATGGCCAGCTGAATATATTACCGCCGGAGAGACGGCAGCGGAATTTAAATGACCGCGCGAAAGGGCTAAAAGAATTGTCTGAGAATGACCTGTACATATCTTTCACATTTAATTGTTCCATTAAAAAACGCAGGTAGAGCCCTTACAGCATGCCAGACTCCAACTTTCACTGGATGGAGCCATACTTCATGGGTTAGATGTGGATTCGGTGAATTCCAGTAGCGATTATTTTTCATATTTATGTATCCCTGCAAGTGAACCCATGCTTCATCAGAAAAGAATGTTAGTTTCAGATGAATCTCATCTTCAGTGATACACTATAAAAACCAACTGCAGAAATGAACCCTGCTAGCTGGATCGCACAGCTGCAAGGCATGGATTACTATTGTCTTATATGGTTTAAGCTGCGGCAGTTGTGTTGCCCTTCTTGCACTCTCCTGTGACACTCCTGTCTCTTTGAGCTAGACATTGAGCACTGGGCACTTCTTTTTTTTTTTTTTTTTTTTTGTCGATTGAGAGTCTCGTTAATCAATGTTTATTCAACAAATTGTGAATTGTTTGTGTCCTGGGACTCTTTTCATCACAAAATTTTCACCAGCACTTACTAGCAGAATTGTATTTGGCATAAGTGTCATACAGAAATGCACATTGCTCTAAAGTATACTGCATCATGATAGAACACATTGCTCACTAATTGTAAGAGAACAGATGACTAATGGAGTTGATAACTGCCACCCACTGCTGACAAATCATAAACACATTCCCACACATGAACTGCGTTGATTGCCGTGAAACATAATACCATGAAGCCATCCACAAATTTAATAACTCCCCTTAATTCCAAACGTTATTGACCATCAGGCATGCTAATTAATTGGCAAAATTCATATTTGACTCACACTCGACTGTGTGCTGGTTGCCGTTAAGTGCAGAGCCATGAACCAGTCACACCCATAAGAACCTCCCTGTATAGATACAAAAAGATAAATCTACTCAAAGATAAACATAACGAAGACAAAAAAGCATTATTCATTACAAAGTGGTATTCAAAAGTTCCCGTACTGTTATTGTTGTAACTGCCATGGTGAAAGAAGATGAGAGGGAGGGCAAGGTCACACTTCTAAAAGCCTATTGCATCAGTCTGCCACATGATACCATGCTCTTATCATGCACTGTTTTTACTTGAGTGCTTTTTTGACTTCGTGTTTCATTTTGTGATGGATGGCAAAATCAAGCAATGCATCTGTATCAAGTTTTGCGTGAAGCTTGGTAAATTCACTGCCAAAACTCTTGAAATGCTTCATGAGGCTTTTGGAGAACATTGTTTAAGTGGGACAGTGGTTTTTGATTGGCATTCACATTTCAAGGCCGGTCAAGTGTCAGTTGAAGATGACAAAGATTCAGAGTGAACAGGCACCAGCAAAATGACAGAAAATGTTGAAGAATTCGAGAACTCGTCCACAAAGACTGTCACCAAACATTCCATGAGCTTGCAGACACCACTGGGATCAGTTATGGAGTTTGCCTGTCTTTACTAGCGAGAAGCTGGGATTGTGGGTTTGAATCCCACTCAGTGCATGAATGTGTGGTGTGTTTGTGTACAGGTAGAGGCCTTACGACGAGCTGATCACCCGCCCAAGGAATCCTACCAGACGTCTGAGATCTGGTAAACCAAAGTGAAACAAGAGTGTCTTGAAGGTAGGCCAAGGCCTAAATTGGGGCTGTAGTGCCAAAAGAAAAAAGAACATACACCGAACTCTGTGTTAAACACTGTACATCTTCCTGCCAGTACCACTGCAGACAACGACCACATCACCAGCACAGCACACAACATGTTATCAAGTGAGGGATGGGTGTGAAAAATTTTGCAGTAAATCTGGTGACATTGCCCCCTCACCCAACAGAAGCTAAAGAGAAATAAGTAATTACACCATGTTATGTTTGCAGGCTATGAGACAGTAATATATTGTCACGTGTAAGGTGTATGTCACGCGACAAATAACTTCACGCCATACTGAATATAGCAAATTTATTGAGGGCTCGCTCTCACACTCACACAATTCACAATTACAATTACTGCAATCGGCAGTATCACAATTACATCCACAGCTCTCGGCAACTTCACGATCCACACTGTGTCACTCCTGATCACACACTCTTGTCACATACTGCTCAGCCAGCTTTTTATACTGTTCCCTGTTGCCTGTGTAAACAGCGGTATCCCCTGTTATGTCACCGCGGGGGAGGGGGCGGAGTGTTCACTGGTCTGTTACTGTAGCAGCGACAGCGCTCCGAAGCTGTTGTGTCGCTGCTGGCAGGGAGAGGGTGTCCTGCATAGCCCAAATATGTCACAATGTCAATCGTGCTACACAAAATCTGCATAGAAATAGGAACACTAACATAAACCAGAATAGCTACAAAATTACGCAGTCTCGGCAGTTATACATGAGCAAAGAACTTTCTACACTCTCAAGTATGTAGGGTTTTAATTGTTGTTGTTATTTTTTTTTTTTTGGAAGGTGTGTTATTATGCAGTAACGAATTTGATAAGCTGGAACCAAGCAAATTTATGAAATGCAAACCATCAGGCAGGACCTTCCAAATTTCAGTGCACGCACACGCACACAGAATGTAAAGTTATTGTACTCTATACTTTGGATGGTAGTGATAGTTGCAGATTCAAGGTTCTGATGTATTAAATTTATACATGTAAAATATTGTTATTTTAGTGCAGTATAATGATTAGTTTGGAATGAGTGCAGAAGTTGTTTTGTGGTATGTTGGATTGCAATTCCATTTATAAAATATTTCATGGATGACAAACTACCTTCTCAGTTTACAGACTCTTGTGGTAACCTCTGCTATAGCAGTCTGTATTAACTCTTGTTTACATTAGTTGTTGTGGGTGGAAGTTTGTCCTTTAAGGGGAATTGCTCCATCAGGAAGCAGGAAATCATGTTAACATGGCTTCAAATGAGGCACAGTTGCATGACACATGTAGCTGTTTCAAGGCATTCGTAGTCCTGCTTCTACACAGAGTGGTGTGTCCATTACCATTTCACACATCAAGAAGTAGTGGCCATTTTGTGGCAAAGCCATAAGTTGTCAAGGAATCTTGTGTGGCATCCTATGAGATGACTCATATGGATTTGTTCATTGTTTCAGGGTGGACATGTCTATTGAACTGACACTATACTATATTGTAACGTGTTTGTCTACTGAAGACCCCATTCAGATTGTTACTTCGGTTTATTAACCAATTACAAGTCGTAACTACAATCACTTATGACACTCTTGCTGATTTACACAACTTACCTTCACTACACACTAATCTCTTAACAGTCTGTCTTAAGTAGTCTTCGCATATTTATAACACGGGAGCTATACACGTCTCTCTGAATTACACACTGCCAATATAACTACTACAGCACACACAAAGTCTTCAAGTCACACAATAAGTCTTCACTGGCTGACTTCCCAGTTATTGCACACTATCACTGATTATCACACATACAATCTTCTAACCACGCGTTTGGTTCTTCTTCTTCTCACGACTGATTGACTTCTGCTCCGCTGAGTACTCCGAATACTAACTGCCACTGTCTTAGGCGACTGCTACGTTTCAGCTAACACCGAACACTGTCTCGATACACTTGATACAACTGAACTCAGCGACTGCTAGACTTCAGCTCATACTAAATACTCCTTGTAACTCATACTCAATACTCAATACTGAATATTCGATACTGCTCGACTTCGACTGACAACAGGCATTTCAGATACTCATATAAATCCTCAGTCGGACAGCAGAAAACGCACCTCACTTCACTGTTGCATAATCGCCGTGTTTACAGAAGCATTGCTGGGCAACGCTGCATAGCAACCAGCACACTTCAGCTTGGCTCGGCACGGTACGGCACAGACAAACACCGCTTTCCTTACTGTTGTGTAACCTCATTCCATATCCCGTTGCCCAACATTAGTTTAACATGTCACAATATATTGTTTTGGGGATTTTGCTGGGCCATTTGCAGCCTTTCTTAGTATCCTTTTTTAGCTCAGCCTTTATTGTTATTTCATTTATGGAGCCTATCCACTATTAATCAGATGCCTGTCCAGCCTTACAAATGCATAATTTTATTTAATATTGCAATCTGCTAAACAGTGGCAGTGCAGCTTAACTTCTGTTGAATCAGAAACCTCCATACATGCCGATGGACTCAGGCACACACCACAAAAGGGGTGTGTGCTCTCTCTGTCCCTCCCTCCCTCCCCTCCCTCTCACCACTCGCACACCTACCAATTTAACATCTCACTGTATTGGGGCTTCAAACTTATTTCTCTTCCTATTAGGATTTTTCATGTTATTTACTCTCATTTTCCAGGGTAATTTGAATGAACTTCAACCTGTACATGGTGAGGAGCGACAGTATTCCTGCAATGAGTGTGGTGAATCATTCAGTCAGAAGGTAATTCTGAGAGCACATCAGCACATACATACTGGGGAGCGGCCATTTTGTTGCAACAGGTGTAATAAGTCATTTGGCTATAAGAGGCATCAGTGTGTACGTGCTGGAGTGCGGCCGTTTTGCTGTGATGAGTGTAATAAGTCATTCAGTCAGCGGAGTCATCTGAAGACACATCAGCGCATACATAGTGGGGAGAAGCCATTCTGTTGTGATGAGTGTAATAAGTCATTCAGTCTGCAGAGCCGTCTGAAGGCACATCAGCGCATACATACTGGGGAGAAGCCATTTTGCTGTGATGTATGTAAAAAGTTGTTCAGTGTGTGGAGCTATCTGAAGACACATCAGCGCATACATAGTGGGGAAAGGCCATTTTGCTGTGATGTATGTAATAAGTCGTTCAGTGATCAGAGTCATCTGAACAGACATCAGCGCATACATAGTGGGGAGCAACCGTTTTGCTGTAATGAGTGTAATAAGTCATTCAGTCAGCAGAGTCCTCTGAAGACACATCAGCGCATACATAGTGGGGAGAAGCCATTTTGCTGTGATGTATGTAAAAAGTTGTTCAGTGTGTGGAGCTATCTGAAGACACATCAGCGCATACATAGTGGGGAGAAGCCATTCTGTTGTGATGAGTGTAATAAGTCATTCAGTTTGCGAAGCCGTCTAAAGACACATCAGCGCATACATACTGGGGAGAAGCCATTTTGCTGTAATGTATGTAAAAAGTCATTCGGTGTGCGGAGCTATCTGAAGACACATCAGCGCATACATAGTGGGGAGAAGCCATTTTGCTGTGATGTATGTAATAAGTCATTCAGTGATCAGAGTCATCTGAATAGACATCAGCGCATACATAGTGGAGAGAAGCCATTTTGTTGTGATGAGTGTAATAAGTGTTTCAGTCATCAGAGTAGTCTGAAAACACATCAGCGCATACATGTTGATGTGTGTAGTAAATCATAGAGCAGTAGAGATGGGTTTAGACCAGGGGTCTCCAAACTTTTCAAAACGTGGGCCGCATTAGGTAATTCAGCACTTTCAACGGGCCGGATAAACTGAGAAATTAATAACTTTAGGTATACGAGTTTTATTGAAAGCACAGAATTTCAGAAACTAAATACAAAGTACGTCAGAATAAATTATCATATATTAATGACAACAGACAGTAGCAGCAAATGCTCATACTTTCATCACAAATTATAATAAAATAATTAAGGTGAGTGGTGGAACTCTTTTTTCATTCTTAAAATCTGATTAAATTGAGGTTCAAATTTTGAAACGCTAATCACAAGTAGCGACTTTAAATGTTCATCGGATAAATTTGCCCTGTATTTAGACTTGATGTACTTCATCTGGGAAAAGAGTTTGTTCACACAAATACGTCATCCCAGAAATGGAGATAAATTTACAAGCAAATTTCTTTAAATTTGGAAATTGCTCAGAGTTCAGAAATTTATAAAATTCGATCAAATTTCCTTCCTTGTATTTATCTTTAATATGATAATTTTCCTCAAGTTCAGTAATTTCCATTTGAATTTGACTTGGGACATCTGCAGCATCACAGTGAAACGGATTTTGAAACAATCTAATTTCCTGAGCACTGGAATCCAAATCATCAAATCCCTTCCAAAATTGTTCTTCTAATTCTAAAATGACTAAATTTGCAAACGAGGAAGGAAATTCTGCTTCACCCATTTTATGCAACTCTGCACAGTATAGCATATGAACAAAGTTACAGTATTTCACTTGGCTTTCCAGAAGTATCAACTTTGCTCTGAATGCCTTGATAAGCGCAAATAAATCACAGACTAAGTTATTTTCACCTTGCAACTTTAAATTCAAATGGTCCATATGGTTCACCAGATCAGCAAAAAATGCTAATTTCCAAAGCCACTCGGTATCTGATAAAAGTGGTTCGTGATAGTTTTTCTCGCTAAGAAATATATCAATTTCATTCTTGAGCTGAAAGAAGCGCGAAAGAACCTTTCCACAGCTAAGCCATCGAACTGCAGTATAATATGTCAGGTCAATAAGCTCGGAATCACATTTATCAGTACTCATTGGAAAATTAGTTCAATTGATGCATTTCTGCACAATTCTTTCGCAGGCCGTAGTTTGGAGACCCTTGGTTTACACTAAAGGAACAGTATGTGACTTGTAGCATGCCACAGTTTTTCATGTTGTAAGACACTTTTGCTGTGTGTGAGATGCTTCAGTTTCGTAGAATGCTACAGTATATTGTAGTTGATTGCTGTTCCTAACCTTTCTAACTGACAGGAAATGAACTGAGTCCCATGGTACAAAACATCTGTGCAAGTGAGTTCCATTTGATTCTGATTGCTGAATGTGCACAGTATCCCCTGTCTTGTTGAGTGGAAACAGACATGACATGACATTCTCCTGAAGTTATGATGTTAATTCAGCACTGGAAGCTAATGATTAGTAGAATGTAATCACTGAAATAGATCGACAGCTTATATACATAATTCAGCAGCATCATATGCTTTTTGCTGTATGTTATCTGTGCTCTTCTGCCATTACATGTTAGTAAACTCATTGATCCACTTAGTTTCAGATTGATATATAGGTTGGATTGAGTGTAATTAGATATCTGTTATGGATTGGTCATATGAATACAAACTATGCTATATTGGACATTGCAGACGAGATATCTGTTTGCGGGATACTTGGTATATTGATTATAAAAAGAAAGTTAAATAAAGGTGTGTTGATTCTGCTTGTGAAGAAATGAAGTAGTACAGAGAATTTAATTGAAAGATCATGAAAGACTTGCTTACATCTTTTCATTGTGAATATCAGCAGAGAAACTGAGCAGTCTGTCATGAGATCAAAAGAGAAAGTGGTTTGGCGCTGAGGCATTCCATTTTGCTTTAGGTCTCCTTTGCCTAAGAAGGAAATAGTCGACTGAAAATTGTGAAATATTCTTTAATAAAATTAGGCAATGTCATTAATATTATTAATTGGAATTCAGAGGTTTCATATAGTGGAATGACATACAAGTAATAGCTTTTAATTGCACTTAATTCAGTGCAGTTAGGGCTGCCCTCCATACCTGTTTTCTTCACTGCCTGAATGAACTGCATCATAACCGAAGCTAATTCTCGGTCACTCTGAGCAAGTGATCTCTGGTTACTGGCACTTTTCTTGTCAAGGAAAGCTTGCTTCATTTTGCATAAGATGTACCATGCATTCATCCCTCAATAACTTTGCATCAGCAGAGCTCTGCCTCGTGTCACCACACGTTGGCTGTCGCTGCATCACCAGAACAGATCCTGCTCCATGGTCCTGGAATGTGTGTTCACCATATAAAACTGGGCAGTGCACGAATGGATTTGCAAGTTGCAGTTGCCCTCAGAATATTGTGAACATAGGCTGATGCTGTGTATTCTGTATGCTTAAAGAAGGGAATATGGAGTGAAATCATCTGGCTCAGGATAGGGGCCAGTGTCTGGCTGTGAACATGGCAGCGATGGTAATGAACCCTTGCATTCTATAACATTTTGATACTTGAGTAGCTGAGCAACTAGCAGCTTCTCTGGAAAGGTGCAGCTGTGTGCAGTTGGTTAATATTTGGCATTAGAACTTCTAAATTGATTGGCTGGAACTGGAATTTGTTGACCCCATCCTGCTGAAGCAACCCAAATGTGTGTCGAATGGTTGGTAAGTCTGTGTTTTCCTGTTATATACAGGGTGTCCCAGGAGGAATGGACCAAACTTCGGGAGGGTGTTCCTTATGTTAAAGTATGCCGATATAACCCAAAATACCTATGTCCAAAGTTGAACGGTTACGGAGATAATGGCCCGAGAAAAGTGTGGTCTTCTTGCAGGTCCACGCACTGTGGACAGTCAGCTGTGACTGTTATCTGTTTGTCCTTGAGTGCTGTGAGTCACTAGCCATGATCTCATGCGCAACCTACCAGAGCCTACATATTACGTTGCGGCGGGGTCGTGAATGGGTGGTAAATTAGTTGTGTGATGAGTTGCTGAAATGCCTTTTGTGTTTTCACACGTCGAGTATTGTGATATGCATTTTGTGTATGGATTTTGCGGTGGCAATGCACGTGCTGCTGTTGAAGAGTACCAAAGGCGTTTTCCCGATCGAAGGATTCCATCTCGAAGTGTATTTACGCGAATTCACCAGACATTGCGTGAGACTGGTTCTCTTCCGAGTGTTTCTGTGCAGTCGGAAAGGGAGGATGTACAAATGAGAAACACACGAGAGAACATTCTTCGCATGATTGATAGAAGTCCG